GGGCGATGATAGGAAAGCGAGTATACTTCAAAGGAAATGTTGAGTAAAATATTCCGGTACTACTACTCTGTAGTACTCTATACAACTATACTATACTACTCCATAGTAGTAATCGTATACCGTATAACCAGTATGATCAATATACCGCACTACTTCCGGTATAATGATAGGTCTGAATAATTGTACGGGGGGCAGGTGTGTAAATGAAAACACGAAAAGGATTTCGTTTCGCAGTAAACAAATATCGTATTAAGTTTTATAGTAGAAACGGTAAAAGCGAAAAAGATGTCTGTCTTTGACGAAAGCAGTGAAGGGCTCAAGGGTCGATTCCTAAAGTGAAATGGAACTTGAAATGAGAGAGCATCGAAAGGAGTGTGAAGAATTTGTAAATTAGAAAATAAAGACTACGAATAATCGAAGAAGAACAAACTAGATATGGAAAATGAGAAAGAAGAAACTTTGATGAAACCAAGCCAGTGAAAGGTGGAGTGAGCAAAATAATCAGCCGATTAGGTTGAGTTTGAAGAAAGTTCAATTTCAAGAGAATCGCATTATTTTTAAAGGATAGAAATGTGAACTAGCATTCAAATTGCGATCAGTGAACCATAGGAAAATACCAATGTGCAGTGTCATGATAGCGGCATTTACGCAATACATATAGGTTGGAAATCGTGGTAAAATAAAAAAAACAAAATTTGGGAGAGGTTAAGTTAAATGGAGCCGCAAGAGTACGTAGATAACGGATGACGCAAGTACGAAATCAGCCATAAATTGATAACGTTCTTTTTATATTTGAACTTATCAGTCACCAGTATAAATGCGCTTCCCGAGAATATTTGCTAATGATGGTTGTGTGATGGAAAGGAGCAAATTAATCAAATGAATTTTGTTCTATACACGACCGCACTGTTGCTCAAAACGCAGATTTCCTTTTTGTACTTTCATTGTTTTGCCAATTAATTCGATGTCAGAAACCTCTCATGATGCAAAATATGTACACTTTAATGACGCAAGAGTCTGCTTGTTCTTTGTTTTCTTCCATATTTTCAGTAATTTATCACATCAAATTGTACAAAACGAAACGGTAATGCATGAAAAGGAATACGTAGTATTTAAAACAATCAGATTAATAATTACTCTATGAATATACTTGCAATATACTTGTTTGACAATGATGACGTATTTTTAACGACTAATTCGATCATTTGTTAAGTTTATTTCATACTCCAAGATTTCAGAGGGCACCTTGTGGTGTTTCCTAGTATTTACAGTGAATTTCAATATTTACTTTCGTAACATTGCTGCACTAATGTAGAATGTGAAGACAGAAAGAGACAAATGTCTACCACTTTCTCTGCTTAAAAATATATCAAGTATACCACAAAATATATTTCATTCAAGTTTAGGTACACATCTGCCACCAACAGTCTTATCATGTAACCTTTAAGAACAGTTACTTTTAGGTACGAATACCCAAATATTAAAAGAGTTGGGAGAATTCTCCTCATGCAGGAATTAGTTTTGTTCATGTTTAATTGGCCGTCGCCCGAAAACCCGATATCATGCCAATTTATTGTGATCGCATTAAGAGCTTTATGTATATATTTAAATCCGAGAAATATATTATTATCTGGTGATATATTGACAAAGTAATCGCAAATACACTCGGCTCTTCAATTGCCTATAACACGCTTTAATGACACGATTAAATATAACAAATTATAAAATACTACGCGGCGCACAATATTGATAAATCGAATGCGACTGCGCCGAGCGGGCGCTGGGGATGGGCGTGCGAGCGTCCTGAAAGCAACCGCTCGCCCTGCAAACAAGCCATAGAAACCGCGATGAAACTAATCGCATGCGACCACCACGCGCGGTTGCCACAGGCGCGCGGTGGTTTACTGGCAACTTTGGAGCACGCGCTGCCCACTAGATGCAGATAGAGAATAAAGCGTAGACGCAATCTGCGGGTGAAGGCGTATTTTAATCCTCGTGCCATATCTGGGGTCGTTTTGGAGACCAGCTGTATTTATTTGTTTGTGATTTTCTGAAATTTTCAGGATATTCTCAGCTTTCTAGATATGCATTTGTCGTTTAATCGCGCATATATACCTAGCTATTTTATAATTCAATGCAAGACTCAAAATATGAGAATATCTCTAAAAATGTCTGATTGTATTTGCTGAAAACTCTATAATAAATTAAATTACTATATATTTCTTGTAGTTTTCATTTTTTCATTCCAAGTATTTTGTCATTCTATGTGTGGTTTTGCTTTCACTTAATTCCAAAAATGGAAACGTTACCAATTACCAAATATATTGTACATAAATTCTCTTTTAACTACTACCAAATGAAGTAAATCCTTCCGAACTTTCATTCGCACTGTAAGAATAGGTTACAAAGAATTAGATTCTCGACACATCATCCAGAAACATTCTAAAGAAGATCTAATTAATTGATATATGTTCATATTATAACCCTACTTATAAACTTTGAAAACAAGTGTCATTTAAATAACCAAAGTAGATACAAATGTCTCAACTCAAAGTTTCGTCATCGCCATTAAGAACATTTAACGAGCGTGGTAATAAAATATATCTAAATCGAAGTCACGTCTTTATCTCCACACTTGGGCAGCATTCAAAGCAACGTGACTGGAATGCAGTCGTATCGATCAGTAAATCCTGCTCAGTCGGAAATGTTGAAATAACCGATCGCTAAGTCGCCGCTGGGGTAATCGCGTCGAGGCCAGCCGGATCGTCCGCCTGCCGTGTCCGCTTGTGGCGTTCACGCTACAACGCACCTCAACACGAAGCGAGCTGCAAAAAGGCTGACGTTGGTCGGTGGTGCGACTAATAATAATAATGATGTGATGGTGCGATGGCAATGAGGAGCTGGATGATCGCAGTGATGCATGATGATGATGATGATGAGAATAGCAATGACGAGAGGCGACAAGGTCGACTTTGAATGATAGTCACGTAAAGTGCTATGGTCATTAGTCCCGTTAGTGTAGTGAACATTTATCCCGGAATGTGTCAGTGACCCTCCGCTGGATGGTGAGATCCGTCGCTGACCTATACGTCAGGTTGAAGGGTATTTATTCCTCCAAATATTTCTCCCAGTGGGGCACCGGCCCAGCCGGAGCAAGCTCTGTGATCCCAGATGATTGTGATAATGTAGTGCATGTAATTGTAAATGAGTGCATGTAAGAGGAGGGGATAGTAGAAGGAAACTGATCAAAGCAACTGGCGGCTACAATTCTTCTCCAGACAACGGCAGAGTTCAAGCTAAGTATCTCGCTTATGACAGAATTCCATCACTATCGGGACGCGAAACTTAACTTTGTAGATCTAGCGGCACAACGGGGGACATTGTTTTAGAGCGTTGCTGTGATGATGGCGACGGCGTCATGGTGACTTAAACGGTGTAACTGCGGGAGACAATGTTGACGGAGAGGGTAGCAGGGAAGGCTGGAACGGCATGGACGGGGGACTGCGGGGCACAAGGAACGCAAGGCGGTGGAGACAGTGGAAATTCGTAATGTACAGTTGTGCTAAAATATCGCATCACGCAAAGAAAATGGGCATTCTATATTTCCTAATTCAATCTGCTCTCAAATATTGTAAACAATTAATATTAGTAGAAATTGTTAATTATATAATTTATGTGGATTATATGATGTTTATGATTCCATTACCTTCATAACTCGCTCGAGTTTGAAAATCAAGTGGTGAATTTTCAGAATTATATTGCAGATTACAACTGTGAAAAAGGAGATGCGTTTTTCTAGCACCACTGTAGCAGTGACTTACAGAGCGGTGGGGAAGGGGAAGGCGGAGTGAGGCGAGTTGGGAACTGCAGAGAAAGTAGATGACGGAGGCAGCGGGGTGCATTGGATCGACCCCACATGTGGTGACGGTATGGAATGCGAACGAGGAGGTAGACTCCGCAGGTGGTGACGATTTGAACGGTTGGGTTGACTGCGGAGTGGTAGACGAGGTGGTGACGGTTTGAACGGCTGGAGTGATTGGGGACGGCAGATTCCGCAGATGGTGACGGTATGGACAGTTGGTGTGGCTGGAGACGGAACGGCAGGTACCGCAGGTGGTGACGGTTGGGGTGGCTGGGGACAGGGGAAGCAGATTCCGCATATGGTGACGATTGGAGTGGCTGGGGACAGGGGGAGGCCAATTCCGCAGGTGGTGACGGTATGGACTATTGGGGAGGCTGGGGACGGGGCGGTAGACTCCGCAGGTGGTGGCAGTACAGACGGCGGAGGTGACTCGGTACGGAGCGGCAAACGCAGGGTGGATGGCCGCTTAAGAGGGCAATTAACTCTCGAGCCACCTCCAAGCGCCGCCGCGCCCACGCGGAGATTCGCCCGCAGTTAGCGCCGTGACAAGCTCCCCGGCCCCGCCCGCCCCTCCCCTCCGCGCCCCCGCGCCTTCCTGTGGCGCGCTCCGCCGCCCCCCGCCGCACACTCGGCGCGTCCTTAATTAACAGGACGCAAGCTGCGTGTCTGAACGAAAATGAACAACAAATGGCAATTTAGTATATAAACGATAAAGACATCCTTTCTACAAGAGGGGAAGCTGTATCTGGCTCATTAGTTCACCTACGAAAGAATAGTGAATAGATAATAGTTATTTACGACGTAAGTATTGCAATACACCATTCGATCGCGGTATTTGCACCAATCTATCATAACAATAATATGTTACGGTACAAGTTTTGCACTTTTATACACTTTGTGAAAATTTCAATAAACTACATTTTTTTAAATTTCTCTGTTTACCCAGCAAAGTGTGACTGGATGGTTTTGATATAAATAATAGAAAATCTTGGATTATTAGCAAACGTGTGTGAAAACGTTTATGTTGCTAATAGTGGGTCATAGATACTTGTGTTTTAATTACTCTTGTTACTAGTATAATCTCAGTTTCTTAAAGTTTGACTTTAGACAATCAAGTTCTGTACAATTTCATTATCGTCTTTTTTATTGATGTATTTTATGTCACATCAACTACAAAGGTTATTAGCTACACAATAATTTATTTTTGTACATGGTGTATTGTGACACATTGGGAGAGAACATTCATATCACAATATTAACAACATTTTTCACAATAATCATTATACATTTTTCTTATATATCACTGTACAAGTTTATGTCCTTCAAAAAATTGAGAAACCGACTGCATTGAACTTTTTCCTTTACCTTTGCCATGTCGTTATTGGCAACATGTCTCGTCCGGTCGGCCTCAAACCTGGGGTACAAAAATAAATAATTAATATACATAGAAACATTACACATAACAGCCGCTTTCCTGGTAATCAGATGCGCATGTGTGAACTTGGTGTGATCTATTCTGCATCTAGTTAACACAACCTGGTCAGCTCTACAGACGGATGTGGCTGGATTTCTTTATCATCATATGTAGTATTTGAATTTATTTTATTTGTTTTCGTAAAATACAAAGTACCCAAATTTCCTGTAGTGTCCTGAAAGTTTAGGAGAGAAGATAGAAAAGCACCTTTAACTCTCGGATTAAATTAATGGAAAAAAACGTAGACAGTTTAAGAGACCCCTTAGGCTCGGAACACGTGACAGACTCTTCTTTTCTGTGTTTTTACGATTCGTGTTTAACGAAATATCGAAGGTACTTGTTTTGCACGACTGAGTTTCCTGGTGTTTGTAGGTATTTTTACTTTACCTCGCCCTCCCCGCCCGATTCACAGTTCCCCTTCGCCTGTTCAAAGACGCGACATGTGGATTCCGTATCTTCTCGATTCTCGACACTGAACAGGGTTAAGCGCACTGAATTTCAGGTTACGGGCAAACACGAATACGATACGGGACGAAAATAAGAAGCCAGACGATTTCGTTTCCGGCAGTTTTCTAATTGATTTACTGCCACAACCGCTCTTAGTTTTCAAACGGATACAGTTTAATGGTTAACGCTGTCACTTTACGAACGTATAGGAGCCCGTTAATGTTAGGTCCACCACACTTTTGAAGGGAATCCATGGGCA